CTTTCTCTTTCTCTCTCTTTCTACTATCTATCTATCTATCTATCTATCTATCTATCTATCTATCTATCTATCTATCTATCTATCTATCTATCATCTATCTATCTATCGTGCTTTTGACTCAGTGAGCCCAAGTACGGATTAGGTGGACGTGTTCCTGGGGGGCCCAGGGGGCTGGAAAGTACAGAAGCCCCCACCCCTGAAATAAAGTAGAGTTAAATATCCCCTGTTGTGGTCCGGAGTCTGCAGCTGGCTCTTTTGTGGGGGGGGGGGCTGGGGGAGAGGCTGGGATCCCGAGCAGAGTCTGGACTGTTGATTTAATTGCCATTTGATAATTTGTTCCTGCCAAGGAGAGTCAGAGAGATCTCAGATTACAGAAAGCTAAAGAGGGTTTAGAGAATATGTTATGCTTTTGGGGAAGGAAAGAAGGAAGGAGGGAGGGAGGGAGGGAGGCTGACAATGTATTTAGTCTGAGCAAAGCCACAGGGGTTGGAGACATTCCCAGCAACCAGGATTGAAGAAGGGAGGACTGCTTTTTTCCCAGATGCTACAGCAGGGGGATAAAAAAAGTTGATTTTATTTTATTGGGGTGCTCTTAAGTTTGATGTTTACATCAAGTTTTAGACAGTGGAGCCTCCATCCTCAGCAGCAGCCTACCTGGGACTACCAGAAATGGGAACGGTGGTGCCTGAACTGCTCAGAAACATTTGGTTGCCTCCTATTGGAGGAGGAGATCCTTAAACAGGGGAGGGGGGGTGCAAGGCAGACCTCCCCCCCACTTAACCTACAGTTCTTCCACCCTGGGAACGCAGAGGATTCGGGATGCCAGACAGGACTGGAAGCTAGTTTGGGGAGCCAGAGAGGTGCCTCTCCGATCACCAAAGAGCTCCAGGCCCCACATCCCAAAAATGTGGATGCCCCTTTTTTTTGGGGGGGGGGGAGGTATGAAAGAGAAGGAGGAAGTTGGAAGATGAAGGGCGTTTTATTGCAGCATTGCAGAAAATCCAATCAAAGAGGATGGAGATCAGGCAAAATTTGGCCCATGGACTGCAGAGAAATCCTCCTTGGCGGCTCCTGGGGTGGGGGTGGGGGTGTGGGGCTGGCAAATCTGCCTTCAGCTTCTCTTGGTCTCCTCCGATCCACCACAATCCCCAAAGTTGTTTTAGGAGAGCTGAAAAGCCGGAAAGCAACTGCTGTAAAGTGGGAGAAGGGGGACCGATCACATCTGGCAGCCTGCCCAGGACCCTCCAGCTGTTCCAACCCCTCCCACCTCCAGATGTCCAGACCACCCACTCTGGGGGCTGCAGGAAGGCTCCAGGCTGGGCAAAGGGGGCGTGGGTGCATGTATTGCCCTCAGCTGGCCAAGAAAGGATTGGCTTTCAGTTTGGCTGCTTTTTGCAAAACATCTGGAGTTTGGAAAAGGTCTCAATGCCTGGGCAGTCTCCAGGGAAGGGCTAGCCTCTGACCATGTGCAGAAGGACATCCCTGCGCCTCTCCCTGAGGCTTCTAGGCGGGACTTCTCAAGTCGTTTGAGTTTCCAAATTAAGACCAGGATGTGTGTCCTGAGAGAGAGAGAGAAAGGGAGACAGACAAGGAGAGAAAGAGAGAGAGAGAGAGAAAAGAAGGGACAGAGGGGAGAGAAAGAAGAAGGGAGGAAGAGAGAAAGAGATAGAGAAAAGAAGGGAGAGACAGAGAAGAGAGAAAGAAGGAGGGAGAGAGAGGAAAAGAGAGAAAGAGGGAGAGAAAAGGGAGAGAGGAGAGAAATGAGAGAGAGAAAGAGAGAGAGACAGGGAGAGAGAGAGAAAAGAAGGGAGCAACAGAGAGGAGAGAAAGAAGGGGGAGAGAGAGACAGAGAGAGAGAAAAAGAGAGAAAAGGGGGAGAGAGAGAGAAAGAGAGAGAGAGAAAAGAAGGGAAAGAGAGGAGAGAAAGAAATGGGAAAGTGGGAGAGAGCAAAAGAGAGAGAGAGAGGAAAAGAGAGAAAGAGAGAGAGAAAAGAAGGGAGCAACAGAGAGAAAGAAGGGAGAGAGAGAAATAGACAGAAAGAGAAAAAGAGAGAATAAAAGGGGAGAGAGAGAGAAAGAGAGAGAAAAGGGGAGAGAGAGAAAGAGAGAGAGAGAGAAAAGAAAGGAAAGAGAGGAGAGAAAGAAATTGGAAAGTGGGAGAGAGCGAAAGAGAGAGAGAGAGAGGAAAAGAGAGAAAGAGAGAGAGAAAAGAAGGGAGCAACAGAGAGAAAGAAGGGGGGAGAGAGAAATAGACAGAGAAAGAGAAAAAGAGAGAGAAAAAGGGGAGAGAGAAAGAAGGAGAAGGAATGGAGACATTTCTTCTTGAACTTTCTTTGTTTAGATCTACCGGATAGATTAATGGGGCCTAAAGTAAACCTCACCCAGCAGGGAAGAGCAATGGCGTCCTTGACTGTCTCAGCCCCGGCCGGCCGGCCGTTTCCGTTGAGAAGCTCCATGCTCAGGAATGTCTCCTGCTGCCAGCTGTGCTCCGCTCGGGCCAAAACCGAGATCCTTAAACACCACCGTCCCAAGAATGACTGAGAGCAGCCGAGGCTGCAAACCGACTCTGGGCACGGAGCGATGCCCGGATTCCCAAGTCCTTTGCAGCCTGGAAGTTTTCCCTCTCTGAAGACAGAGCATTGCTCTTCTGAATCCGGACAGACCACAATAACTCCATTGCTCCCCCCCACAAATTGCAGAGACACCCCAAATGAACGGACAGATGTGTATGACTGCAGCTGCTTCTGAAGCTGAATCGGAGTTTGGGGCTGCATCTCTGCCCCCCGTGGAAGAATCTTAACCCTGGTCAGACCACCAACCCATGGGATGATCCAGGCTCCCTAGCTCAGTGTTTCTCAACCTTGTCAACTTGAAGATGTCCGGACTTCAACTCCCAGAATTCCCCAGCCAGCGAATGCTGGCTGGGGAATTCTGGGAGT